TTTGAAATTAAACCATTTCTACTGCCAATACGGCAATGGAAAAATTAAACTGGCGAAACCGCTGGAAGGGTTCACCACTGATGAGCCAGGCCCTCCCTTTAATTTTTCCATTGCAGTAAGGACAGTAGAAATTGTTTAATTTCAAAAAGAATCTTACGCTTTTTAAATAGTTTCGAATTTTGATAACAGATGGCGCGCAAGTGCATTGTCAATATGTGTCAATTTATCACTGTATTAGGGGTGTATGGTCACATAACAGTAGTCGTTTACCATAAATATACTAAGATGTTACAAATTACAGAAAATCATAAAACGCCGCAACTTTTTTAAATTTATTATTTAAAGTAAGCCTTCGGGGAAGATATTCTTCAGCTAACCATAATCAATACTAAGATGTACTAAGAGATATGTACTAAGTATTCCGAGTTATTTTTTTCCTTTTTAAATTTGTGAAAAAATAGTACAAATGTGATATTTAATCAAGAATGGGTATTTGGCCAATTCTGGAATAATTAAAAATCAACGAGAATAGTTGATATTTATTCCGATAGATGGCGCAAGCCATAAGAAACTTTTAGTTGCACGATAAGGAGATGTCTTTTTCTTAATTTATTTTAAACTTGTTAAAACATTGTATTCTGAACTTTTGAAGCATAGAGTGTACAGTTCAACTACTTAGTGACGCTATGTTTTCTAAAGGTATTTGGAGACCTTCATCAAACCAAATTCTTATGTCTGTTTCATGATGAAATTGTGAAACATGTTTTAAAATTGCTAAATATTTTATCACAAGTTTCTTTTTATTTCAAAACGTTGAAGAGCGATTATCACTTGAAAGCTAGCGTTTTGAAATAAAAGGAAACTTGTGAGAAAATATTTTGCAATTTTAAAACATGTCTGTCCTGTATTGTCCCTTTAAACCCAGACATATACACTCATGTACAAAACTTAAGGAAGTTGTACCTTTTAGCATGTATATCGAGATTTAGACAATAACTCTGTAAGATACACTCATGGACAAAACTTAAGGAAGTTTTACCTTTTACCATGTATATCGGGATTCAGTCAATAACTTTGAAATATACACTCATGGACAGAACTTAAGGAAGTTGTACCTTTTAGCATGTATATCGGGATTCAGACAATAACTCTGAAAGATATATTAATGGACAAAACTTAAGGAAGTTGCACCTTTTAGCATGTAGATCGGGATTCAGACAATAACTCTGAAAGATACACTCATGGACAAAACTTAAGGACGTTGTACCTTTTAGCATGTATATCGGGATTCAGACAATACACTCATGGACAAGACTTAAGGAAGTTGTACCTTTTATCATGTATATCGGGATTCAGTCAATAACTCTGAAAGATACACTCATGGACAGAACTTAAGGAAGTTGTACCTTTTAGCATGTATATCGGGATTCAGACAATAACTCTGAAAGATATATTAATGGACAAAACTTAAGGAAGTTGTACCTTTTAGCATGTATATCGGGATTCAGACAATAACTCTGAAAGATACACTCATGGTCAAAACTTAAGGAAGTTGTACCTTTTTGCATGTATATCGGGATTCAGACAATACACTCATGGACAAGACTTAAGGAAGTTGTTCCTTTTACCATGTATATCGAGATTCAGTCAATAACTCTGAAATATACACTCATGGACAGAACTTAAGGAAGTTGTACCTTTTAGCATGTATATCGGGATTCAGACAATGACTCTGAAAGATACACTCATGGACAAAACCTAAGGAAGTTGTACCTTTTAGCATGTATATCGGGATTCCGTGCGGTCCTCACGGAGTTAAAGCTCTCCCCGGACTGACAAAGGTCATCAGACCTAAATAATAGAATTCAGACGATGTTGAAGATCTGTCATCGACCCGAGTCCGCTGGTCTGCGTAAACGGTTTATAGATAGCGCTTAATTTAGTCGTCAATTTTGACGGGAGAGGTGATATTTCATTTTATAGGTTACAAATACGTTAAAATTAAAGTAGATTCAAAATTTAGATGTATAATCAATTTTAACATACATTTAGCAATTTTTATGAACACACATTTTGTCTATAAACTCCTTACATCTTGTTTCCAAGTATGATGTGATATACTAGATGTATAGGAGATACATAGCTTTGACCTTTTGAGAGTGCGTCAAATAATTCCTTGCACAAGTCCATAAGCGACTACAAGTAACTAAAAAGAGATCTGACACTCATAAGTGCAAAAGTCAAACTACCTTTTGCATATGTCCAAGGTAGCCTAGTGGACATGGCATCTGCCTGGTAAGCGGAACACTGTGGGTTCGATTCCCATCTCTGTACACTGTGTACTTTTTGCATGTTGTGGCGAAGAAATATTTAATATTTTATTATATAATTTAAATACTCAATGAAAATATTTATAACGGATTTTATTACTTTATATTTGTAAAATCATCTTTTAGTTACCTATCTTGCTTACTCGATATTCTCTAGCTGTAGATAGTTGGGGTGATAATTGTCGACTGGTCGTTCTGACGTCATCAATAAATACTTTAACATCTTAAGATATTCCAAGATTTGATTTCTACGCTACAGTATGTAGAGTTACGGGGCATTTATTGTAAGAATGATGATCATTTTCTTTTCATCATGATTAGGATGGCCTATAGCATGTGTGTGCTCAGGGGGATAAGAATGAAAAATTAATTTATTCATCCATAAACCCCAGAAGTTGATAAGTAGTTTATATACACCATTATGAATATTCGAAACTATTATAGACACGTATGATTCTTTTGAAAATTAAACAATATCTACTGCCCTTACTGTAATGGAAATATTAATGGGAGGGCCTGGTTCATCATGATGATTTTCCATTGCAGTAAGGGCAGTAGAAATTGTTTAATTTTCAAAAGAATCATACGCGTCTATAATAGTTTCGAATATCGATAACAGATGGCGCGCTGTGGTATCATAATAAACAATTATGGTTTAAAATGAAGACTTAAAAGATATCCTGGACATCAATCAATTTTGTTTTAAAAAGACACATCTACCAGTAGGATTGTTTTTTCCATTGAGGTTTCGATTTTAAAAAAATGAAAATTTCAAGATTATAATACACTCATGGACAGAACTTAAGGAAGTTGTACCTTTCAGCATGTATATCGGGATTCAGACAATAACTCTGAAAGATATTACAGCGACCTTTATTGAATATAGACGAGATAACCAAGTGTGAACAAAGTCTCCTTTGTCTTCTTTAAAATAACAGACGACCGGCGAGATATCAAATACTTTCTACTTCCTTAAATTTTGTCCATGAGTGTATCTCAAAAGTCGAAATCTGTATTTCTAGCGCCTGACACGCTTAGGTTTATATCCCTGTTATCTAAATTCGAATAGCCATAGATATTTAAAGGGAGAGGTTCCTATTTCGGTACCTGATTACCATCCAACTTTGTGTTGTATTCTAGCCTTTGTCACTTCATCATCTTGAACATCTGTTTGGTAAATCTGACCAAATTTATAACCCTCTCATAGGATGTTATGAAATCAATGTCACGCTTATTTCCATCCTGACAAGATCAAAGCGATTTTGTTAAACTTTCGGTAACAACCGTCTGAAGGGTATTTCCTATATATAAACAAACGAAAAAAAGAACAAGAGATTTCGTATGGTCAACGTGGTCCTTGTTTGTCAGGGAGAAAGGTTATTCCCGCTTGTTACGACATCGATGAATGCCTGGCTGTGACACCCTGCGGTGTTGGGCCCCAAGAAATTTTCCAGCAAATTCCTTCACGTGGGTCAAACCCCGGCGAATATTTCTCTCAACAAACTCTATGTCCAACTAACGTGACATTGGACTGATTGGGGGTACGTTCGTCCATTATGAGGCCCTGGGTGAGAGGCCCACATTGGATTTCTATAATATATACCGAGTGGTAGAGAAAGCCTAGGTTAGAAAACAATAGAGAAACACCAATGACATATATTTATACTCTAATTATTTTCTCTTTCTAAAGTGAACTGACCCATTTTGATGTAAAAAACCGTAGAAAAGTGAAATGGTACTGGGATCAGGTGTATAAAAAAGTAAAAGGGCATCTCCTGATTGTGTAAATTAAAGCTGTTGATGGCTTGCGCCATCTGTCGGAACAAATATCAACTAATCGTTGAGTTTTAATTATTCTAGAATTGGCCAAATACCCATTCTTGATTAATCAAAAAAGAAGCGCCGGCTTTTAGCCCTTATCAGCGCGATGCAAGCCGTGAAGCCGCGTACATGGTTAGCCTTTCCTTGCTTAATCAATAATGGGTGTTTGGTCATTTCTGGAATAATTAAATTAAACGATTAGTTGATAATTATTCCGACAGATGGTGCAGGCCATCATCAACGTTTAGTTTCACAATGAGGAGATGTATTTTTCTTAATCCAATTTGGTGTGTTTGTCATGAACACCGTACGATTCACTTCTATAAAGAATATTTGTAGAACGACGTTTGACAATTATACCGCAAATGTTTCTTTTGAACGAAAAATCGAAATTTATTTTAAGGAGTGTTGGAGCTTGGTTCCTGACAATGTTAGCCAGGACTTCCTTTAGCTCCTTCAGCCTCTAGTCTGGTCTCAGGTGATGACGATATGTGGCAGAGCTTGTTGTTGACTGTACTTTACGAGACCGGCGGATTGACTACTGAGAATGTTGTCCCTTCGCAAGCTGCGATGTAGCAAACTGTTTGAATACAGTAAGGACGCCTCACTCGTTTTAGCTGACTGACTGACTTACTTTATTGAATATTTCACTCCTTTTATATACATATACATATTTACATAATTGAAAGAAATAAATAAAAATTTACATGATTATATAAATCAATGCAGCTTAGCAAGTTATTTACATAACTAGGCGCAAACAAGGAGAAATAACGATTATTTCTAACCTTAGGGATGAAGTATGAAAGGATGAATTGTGAAGAGAAATAATAAACGGAAAAATGAAGTGTCCAGGGATGAGAATCGAACCCACAGTATTCCACTTACCGGGCAGATGCCTTGTCCAATAGGCTACATTGGAATACTTGATGGATACGTAATTTAGATTAAGTGCTAAAATTGCCTCACTAGCTCTCTTTTCATAAATATATTTTTATTATCCCTAGTACACTTAGTACAGGCCATGGTAATCATGGCCTTGTAGTCAAAAGAGTTGTTTTGTCTCTATGTCTAACGACCCTCTATACAGAAATATGAAAAATGTTTGTGCTTCTGCAAAAAAAAAAAAAACTATTCTTAAAAATTACTCCAAAATATCATGACAATCAACACTCAATGCCAGCAAGAATGGAATTCTAATACTGCACATGACTGGTACAGAGCAGGAGGGACAATTCTGTCCTCCCAAGAGAACAACAGTCTTTGATTTCCAGACTTAAGTCTAGTCATCTACTGACAATGACTTTCCAGAATGGGTGAAAGGTTTTCTCACTATGTACTAAGTGTAATTCTCAACCTGCAATCTCGAAACCTATAAAAAAAAAGGACCACCGATGACATCAAAGCTTCTTCTTCAAGTTTCTTCAAGTTTTGTCAATGAGTGTACGTAAAAGCTTCAACCTTTTTGGTAACCCCTCTCGTAGGTTGTCATGAAATCGGTGATGTACGCTCCAGGTGTCCGAGTTACGCACAGAAGAATGTCATGAAATCGCCCCTGTACTGATGAGGGCCAAAGCCTGAAACCATAGTATATAGGTTGTTGGCTTTTTGTCTGAATTAGTTAAAACTGGAGGTTTTGTGTTGTGTGTGTGTGTATGTGTGTTGTGTGCGTTGTGTGTGTTGTGTTGTGTGTGTGTATCTCATTCTTTATCTATACTAGTAAAGTTTTCACTAGGGTTCTAACATAATGTATAATTCTGATGCATATTTAAAGGGAGAGGTGTCTCTTTTGGCATATGATAATCATCCTGACGCAACCTTATACAACATAAATTATACACTCTAATAAACTTATTTTACCCAGGTGGAATAGTAGGTAACACCCTCGAATCCCGACAGTCATGAACCGGGATTGAATCCCGCGTTAACATTTTGTTTAATACGTGAATAACCTTAACATATTATTCACTGTTTCAATTATCATAAACTAGGTTTTTCTTGTTGAGCGGTACCTAATAAAGTGATTTTGGAACCAAAAATAGCACTAATATAGAAAATGACTTAATAGTAAACCAAAATTCTAACAAAAAGTAAATAGATATTGATGATAAACCATGTTTTTTACAGGAGTCCTGAAATAACCTGATGAACAAGGCATTTTACACCCCATAACTTATTTTTAAAGAAAACTTCACCGATTTGAGCAGAATTATACTGCCTCAGAAATTGAAACACTAGCAATAATTAATTCAGTACAAAGGTTTCATACATATCTACATAATATTTGAATATATATATTTGTTATATTAAAATATTATTTTATTTAAATTTATATTTCATAGAATCAAATAATCTGTTAAATCGACCGCCAGAGGTCACGCTTCCCTTATAAAAACTCATTGTTGTTGTTTCCCGATGGCCGGCTCAAACCTTTGTAATTATGTAAATAATATTTTTGTTTTTCCTTGTTCTACTCGCCTTAAAACAGGCATTACTTTATCAAATTATGTTTTTTATATATTCCATAAGCTCAATTAAAGCTATTTCTAATCTTCATTATTTTTTATTAATATAGTTTCAAGATTTTAACCATGACTGCATTGACATAGCATAATCCTCAAGATAATCAAAAATATTCAGAAAATATTTTTTTATAACATATATGCATATATATGTACTCTCACATCAATACTTCACCAATAAGATTTCCACCTTTATTGAAAAGGACGACAGTGGGTCCCCGAAACGTCAAATAACAATGAACGTTGTAAAAAGGTTGATGAAGACTTCTCAACTTGAATGAATCAAAACCCAATCTACCTATCTCCAATCATGGTACTCCCACCAATGTGTTACTTTTATGCAAATTAAAATTGTCTCAGCACATAGATAAGGTTTTAGCGCTGCACGTGTTGAGCCCCACACGTGAAAGTTTGGGACACGATTTGATGACGTACAATGGGAAGGCCACGTGCAGGGCGCACGTCATGGGGCAGAGTATTTGTGGTGAATCATTCTTTATTCCAAACCTTCGGCTAGACACCCTCACATCACTTGCAATAGGATATTGTAACAAAGCATCTATTATTATTTTTATTTTTTTAATAACAGAGTGGTCATTTTTATGTTTATTTTTTGCTACTCTGTAAATTTCCCTCGTGGCTTATCTTTTGTTTACCATTCATAGTTTGTTCTTGCCTGAAATAAATTGTTGTCTCATCCCGAAGTTGGTCTTCCCTAATTTTCCACGTGACAATATTCTAACAATTCTAGATGTTAGTTGAAGGATCAAACATTTTGCGAAGGAAATAAAATCTATTTTCGTTTTTTTTTTTTAGACGATTCATTTTGTATTTATATTATTTATTAATATTTATTTAGATCCTGAAGATAGAGGTTGCCTGGCCGGTATTCACATTTCTGTGAAAAATAGACATTTCGGCCAGTTAGAGTTTTTTTTATTTTCTCAAAGTTTCAACAAAAATATTTTGTCTTTGTCAGGAGAAACAAATAAAAATAAAGCATTTGGCAAGGCGTTGAAATTTGTTCTCGCTTTTTTTAAAACAATTTTTAACGCCTTGCCAAATGCTTTATTTTTATTTGTTTCTCCTGACGAAGATAAAATATTTTTTGTCGAAACGTTGAGAAAATAAAAAAACTAACTGGCCGAAGACATCTGAGGCTCTTCATAGGGCACGACAACAACAGCAACAACAAGAACAATTGAATGTAATACACTCATGAATAAAACTTAAGGAAGTTGTACCTTTTAGCATGTATATCGGGATTCAGACAATAACTCTGAAAGATACACTCATGGATAAAACTTAAGGAAGTTGTACCTTTTAGCATGTATATCGGGATTCACACAATAACTCTGAAAGATACACTCATGGATAAAACTTAAGGAAGTTGTACCTTTTAGCATGTATATCGGGATTCACACAATAACTCTGAAAGATACACTCATGGATAAAACTTAAGGAAGTTGTACCTTTTAGCATGTATATCGGGATTCACACAATAACTCTGAAAGATACACTCATGGATAAAACTTAAGGAAGTTGTACCTTTTAGCATGTATATCGGGATTCAGACAATAACTCTGAAAGATACACTCATTGACAAAACTTGAGGAAGTTGTACCTTTTAGCATGTATATCGGGATTCACACAATAACTCTGAAAGATACACTCATGGATAAAACTTGAGGAAGTTGTACCTTTTAGCATGTTTATCGGGATTCACACAATAACTCTGAGAGATACACTCATGGATAAAACTTAAGGAAGTTGTACCTTTTAGCATGTATATCGGGATTCACACAATAACTCTGAAAGATACACTCATGGATAAAACTTAAGGAAGTTGTACCTTTTAGCATGTATATCGGGTTTCAAGCAATAACTCTGAAAGATATAGTAGTGATATTTATTGAAAACACACAAGATAACCAATTGTGAACAAAATTGCCTCTGTCTCCTTGAAAAAATACCACGGGCGACATCAAAATATGTAAATTTCTTAAGATTTGTCTATGAGTGTATATATATATCTTAATCAACAGAAGACTACTCTTTAATAATTAATTTTTGTCGGAAATATATGTTCGCAATATATTTCCCTTTCACCAACTTGCTATGCAAATTGCTAGAGTTATCGTGTTGGAAATGGCGGAGATAACAATTTAGCCTATACGGAGAGAGACATTGACATTTGAAATGATTTTATTGGCAATTAGTCAATTTTTACAAAAAAAATAAATAATGATAATGAAAATGAAGAAATGATGGGAATGTACGTATTTTTGAAGCTAGGGAGGCTCCAACACCTTGATAAGGTCCTCCTCCAGACGAGGAGGAGGTCTTCTTGGCCTCTCTGTATCTCCAGGCCCAGGAAGTGCTTGTAGATACGGGTCTTGGCAGATGCCATGATGGCCAAGGCGTCATCCTCCAGGTCTCGCCCGAAGATCCAGCTCTGCAGGTCAGGGGGGATGATGGTGAAGGCCTTTACGATGACTGGCCTGATCCGCCTACAGGACCAGTAGCGGTGGGCCAGTGACAGGTCTCCACAGGCGATGCAGGACTCCCGGGCTGAGGCCGGATGTGCTGGATGGGGAAGGTCGTGCAGGGCCAGCTGCACGGCAACGTCAGCATTGTGCCCCGAGAAAGCACATCGCCGGAGAGAAGACCAGCTGATGGAGATGGGGATGCTGACGTGGGGGAGCCACCGTCCCAGCAGCTGGGTGATGGGCAGTGCAGCCAGGCGTGGACGCTACAGCATGCGGCGGGCAGTGCGGGTTGTTAGGCGCTGGAAGGCGGTGGTCGTCACGCGCACCACGATTGCGTCCGCCAGGCTAGCGACGCGATAACGGCCCCGGGCATTCTGGGTGACCAGGCGTGAGCAGAAGCTCCCCAGAGCAGCGGCAGTCCGCGAGGGCGCCACGCGTAGCGATGGTGATGTTTGGCGGAGGCCCGGTCAGTTCTCCTATGCGCCAGCCCAGCCATCTTGTAGGAGCCAGGAGCTCCGGGGGCCTCAGGGAACGGTAGTCGCCCACGACTCGAAGAGCCTGGAGGAGTGCTGGTTGTATGATCCGGTGGTTCAGCTCTAGGATCTCCGCAGCAGCTTCGAAGAGGTAAAGACTACGACGACGCCGCGGGGAAAGCCAGGTGCCAGTAGTGGACGCAGGAGACAGCCACATCCCGCTCTCGGCGAGCCAAGAGTGAGCGCTGAGACCTCCACGCAGTGTTGCCTGGACGCCCTTGAGGCACGAGAAGTCCCTTGCCTCCCACGGAGATCAGCCGCGCTAGGATGCTGCCGGGAAGCCATGAGGTTCGATCGTGCCCCCACACGAATCGAGCCAATCTTGCCTGCGGTCCTGCGATGGTAGTCTCGCTGGGCAGGTAAGCCTGGAAATGATAG